CAATAATATTTCAGCCTTTATCATTGTCAACTATTCATTTTATTTATGTATGTATGTATGTATGTATGTATTTATTTATTTATTTTGGTACCAGGGATCAAACTCAGGATGTTTCGCTTGCGAGGCAGGTGCCAGAACCACTGAGCTAAATCCCCAGCCCCATTGTCAACTATTCAAATCCTATCATTCTTTAAGATTCAGTTCAAGTTCCATCACTACAGGTGTCTTTTTTGTCACTCAATGCAAATTTGTCTCCCTTGAAATGTGAATGTAGGTCAGTGGTGGAATACTAACATGGACAAGCATCCTGGGTTTAATCCACACTACTCTAAGAAAACAAAAAAGCCTAGATTCTTAGCCAGGAATGTTAGCACATGCCTGCAATCCCAGCTAGGCTGAGGCAGGAGAGTCACAAGTTCAAGGCTACTCTGGGAAATTTAGCAAGACCTTGTCTCAAAATAAAATTTTAGGACCAGGGATTTAGCTCAGTGGTTCTGCCACCTGCCTCGCAAGCACAAGGTCCCAAGTTCGATCCCTAGTACCAAAAAATAAATAAATAAAAATTTAAAAGGGCTAGGCAATACAGCTCAGTAATTGAGTATTTGCCTATCATACATGAGCCCTTGGGTACAATACTGTGTGCGCGCGCGTGTGTGTGTGTGTGTGTGTACGCAAGTGCTTGTTCTCACCTCATATATATTTTCTCTCCTATACATATATCATACACTAATGATATGCTGTCACAGCATTAAACTCCTTGTTAAATGTATAATATACTATTCTAGAACATAAGTTTTATGAGGATATACTATAACAAATACTTCCTTTTATCTCCCATTCACAAACTATAGTTTTGCAATTCTTGTATTTAATAAAACACCAAACTTATTATCAGGTCATGAACTCTAGAAAGATTTTTCCAATTCTATTGTTGTCCTGGTTCATACATGGATCAAATACTGTTTCAAATAAGATGACCTGGGGTTTAATAATTTCCATGTCATTTACACATTTGTTTATGTATAAGGAAAATAGCATTCCAGCTAACTGTAACTCAAATGAATGAAACAAAAGTCTAAATATATTTTGCACATCACCTAGAAGCCATTTCTTTTTATTTTTATTATTACATGTTTGCAGTACATAATGGGGACATTAATCATGGGGAGTTGGTACAGTACATGTATATAATGGCTAAACTCTTTTTTCATCCCCTATCCTCTCCCTCCTGTTCCTTCCATCTCTTGATCCCTTTCCCATCTGTAAAAGCTCTATCTCTATTTTTTCCCCAATTCTTTTTCTTTAATCCTCTTTCCCTCCCCTCTGTCAACCCTCCCTCCACCTCTTATTCCCCTTCCCAATTGAAAAAGATCTCCCTACTTCCTTCTGTTATCTATCTTTTAGAGTTTTAGTTGAATAAAACACACAAAGAGAAAAAAAGTCAACTCACTGCCTGGGGCACAACTGGGGCTGCAGCTCCTACATGAATAGCATCATAAGGGGCTTCTTCGGGATATCCCATTCTTCCATCTCCCACTGAAAGAAAACCAAGTTATGCTTTTAAAAACCTGTTAGGACCAAGCACAGTGGCACAATCCATAATCCCAGCACTCTGGGAGGCTGAGGCAGGAGGACTACAAGTTCAAGTACAGCCTGGGTAACACAGGGACTTAATGAGACCCTACTCAAACACACCAAAAGATGCCGGGCGTGGTGGTGCACACCTGTAATCCCAGCACTCAGAAGACTGAGGCAGGAAGATTACAGCAAGTTCGAGGCCAGCCTGGGCTACATAGTGAGTTCAGAGCCAGCCTGAACTACAAAGCAAGATCTTGTCTCAGAAAAAAAAATTCTGAGACAACTGGATAGTCATAAGAAAAAAAATACAATTAGACCCCTACCCTTAAACATACATAAAAATCAATGACAGGAAGACCAAAGACCTAAATATAAAAAGCTAAAATCATATAAAGACAAAGAAATCATATAAGAATATATCATCATGTCTTCAGCCTTAAACAATACCAAAAGCACTGGAAAATTTAGTAAGTCTGCCTTTTTTTTTTTAGACTGGGTCTCACTTTGTAGAGCAGGATGGTCCTGAACTCACTATGTAACTGAGGGAGGCCTCAAACTTGAGGTGATCCTTCTGTCTCAGCCTCATAAGTGCTAGTATTACAGGTGTGAGCCACGACACTGGATGTGACTACCTTAAAATTAAGAATTTCTATTAATCAAAAGGGGCTAATAACATTAAAAAGCATATAATGGATGGCAGAAGAGATTTATATTGGGAGGCTGAGGCAGGAGGTTTGCTGCTAGTTTGAGGCCAGCCTGGGCTACAAAGTGAGTTCAAGGCCAGCCTGAAATGAACTGCATAGAAATACCCTGTCACAAAAAGATTAAAAAAAAAAAAAAAGATTTATGACACTGATAAACAAAAGGCTAGCTTCTCGGAGGCCTATAAATCAAAGAAAAATATAAACAATCCAATATCTGAACAAGCATTTTACAAAAGAGGAAATGCAAATGACCAAATACATGAAAAAGTATTCAATCTCATTAATTAGAATGAAAATACAAAATTGAAATCATAGATATTGCTATGATTTAGATCTGCAAGGTGACTGGATCACAGAGGTAGTATATTCATCAGTGGATCAGTCCACTGCTGAGTTCATAGCTGACCTGTTGTTAGGAAGTGGGGCCTGGTTAGAGGTAGGTCACCAGGGTCATAACCCTGGAAAGGTTTATCTCTTTCCTCAGCTTCTCCTTTTCTCTTTGCTTCCTGATCACCATGACTAGAGCAGCGTTTTTCCACTCTGCCCTCTGCCATGTCATTTCTGCATTGGAGCGAGCTGAATATGGACTGAAATCTCTAAATACTGTGAGCCCAAATGAACCTCTCCTCCTTTAAATTGTGGGTGCCAAGTATTCTGTCCCAGTGATGAAAAAGTGACTAAGACAGACACAGTGCTGTATATTCACTAGAAGGGCAAAAAAAGGTAATTGTTTTTCTTATTTAGTACTTAAAAGTAAATATAAAAGTATGCAATTATTAGAGCTAAGTATATTCAGCTTACACAAGATCTTCTGAAAATAAAAATCCTTTGGGAAAAATTTTTTTTAAGTTTTCTGATACTTACCAACCAATTGTACTCTCCCTGAAGACAAAAGTGTTGGATCGTCCTTTCTGACATTATTTATTGAGTCATCTACTAGTTCCTTAATGTGATCAATTCCTATGACTTTTCCATTACATCCAACCTAGAAAAGAGAATAATTCAATAGCTCATTGGGCTACATTTGTTTTATTAAAGTGTCAGTAAAGTGTTTTCTTATTTAAAGCAATATAAAAAATAAACAGCCTAAGCTAGGTGTCGTGGTGCATGACTGTCAAACTAGTTACTCAGGAGGGTAAGGCAAGAGGATTGAAAGTTTAAGTCAAGTCTGAGCAACTTAGTGACACCCTGTCTCAACAAAATTTAAAAAGGAGTGGGTGTTACTTAGCAATACAGCACTTGCCTAGCAAGCAGGAAGTCTTGGGTTCAATTCTCAGTACCACACACAAAAACACACAGACACACAGACATACAGATACACACACAAAGAATCAGCTTAAGCCTCCAATTAAGACTGCTAAGCACTCAGCTTACCATAAATTACTTACTATATACAACTTTCTCAACTACAACTGTGCTAAAAAATTATATTAAAGGGAAAAATATTTTGTCAGCCATTCCTCAGAAGACTAATATCTAGACTATATTTTAAAAACTCTGAAAAAATAGATCTTCCCAGAATATAAAACCCAATCAAAAAATGGCCAAGTGAAATGAACAGACAGAAGTACTAATAAATACATGAAGAAATGCTCAAAGTTACATTAGAAAAATGCAAATTAAAACAACACAGATTCAATCTCACCCCAGAAAGTATGGCCCATCATCAAGATATCAAACAATAACAAAAGTTGATAAGGCTACAGGGAAAAAGGAACCCTTCTACATTGATGGTGGGAATGTAATCTAGTGCAAGCACCATGGAAAACAGTACAGAGATTCCTCAAAAAATTAAAAGTAGAAATTCCATTCAACCCAACTATCCCCTTCTGAATATCTTCCCAAAAGAGTTAAAGACATCATATTACAGTGGTGCATGCATACCCATGTTTATAGGACCTAATTCATTATAGCTAAATCTTGGAGGTACCCTAAATGTCCATCAACAGAAGAATGGATAAAGAAAATGTGAGATATATATATATAAATAACAGTACCACTTTGCCACAAAAAAGATAAACTTGAGTCATTTGTAGGAAAACAGATACTCCTTGAGACCATACTGTTAAGTGAAATAAATCAGACACATAAGCTTAAATATCATACTAAAAATAAAGAGCAAAATAAAAGATAGATAATAGAAAGTAAGGGGATAGATAAAAATTATATTCAAGTATTGAAGGAGCTAAAATAATTACAAAAACTTATAATACTAAGAAAAATTATATCTTTCTTACTTTTCTAATTTTTAAATCTAGAACTCTGAAATAAAGTTTAACTACCAATATTTAATGGTACTGCAATAAATTTTTAGTTAAACTCCATCTAAAAGTATAAATTTAAATATCAAAACGTCACATAAAGCCCAGTCGCGCGGAACACAGGCCAAATCAGCCCGCTGCAGACAGGCAGGTCTGTGCACGCCCTAACGAGGTCCTGAGTCAAGCGGAAGACGCCTAATCACCCCGCTGCAGACAGGCAGGTCTGCCCACACCCTACCGAGGTCCCCAGTCGCACGGAACACACGCCAAATCAGCCCGCTGCAGACAAGACAGGTCCTGAGTCACACAGAACACCCTGAATCAGCCCGCTGCAGACAGGCAGGTCTGCCCACGCCCTACCGAGGGCCCCAGTCCCGCGGAACACAGGCCGAATCAGCCTGCTGCAGACAGGCAGGTCTGTGCACGCATGCCCTACCGAGGTTCTGAGTCGCGCGGAAGACGCCGAATCACCCCGCTGCAGACAGGCAGCCACCTGATTCCACACTACAAAGACACAGAGGACACCAGACCAACAGACCAAGGTACTGAGTCCCACTGTCCCCGGCCCAGAGGTAGGGGCTTCTGAGCCGTTATCCCACTGCTCCTGGTCAAGAGGAAGGGGCTTCCTGGTCACCATCACTCCCACTGCTCCCAGCCCAGAGGAAAGGGCTTTTGGGCCACCTTCTGTCCCACTGCTCCTGGCCCAGAGGAAGAGGCTTCCGGGCCACCATCCCTCCCACCGTTCCTGGCCCAGACGGAGGGGCTTCTGAGCCACCATCCCACTGCTCCTGGTCCAGAGGAAGGGGTTTCCCGGCCACCATCCCTCTGGCTGCTCCCAGCCCACAGGAAAAGGCTTTTGGGTCACCATCCCTACCGCTGCTCCCGGCCC